GGACCATATCATTTATACTGACTTCGCTGTCTGCCACCGTAGGGGTTAGCCAGGTTTCCGTCAGTATTATGATTTTGGAGTTTAGTTGTGATTGTAGGTGTCTAAGTTCAGCTATTTTGCCTCTTAGCCCTCTCACATTACTATACAGGCAACTGGTAGTCAGTCTCACCACTTCCCCGTATTGGGGGGTAGTTGACTTGATATTGGCTATCGGTTGAGGAGTTATCCTACGAACTAGTTGGCCGATTCCCCAGGAACCGGCCTGTTGGCGTTTTTTTCTTCTAGTTCAGTCGGAGCACTCGGATGACACTGGCTATCATCGTCCGTGCTGCACCGCTGTAGTGTGACTAGGGGTTGAGGATTTTCTTTTACTACGCTTTGTTCTCTCCTTTGAGTGCGAGGCCGGCTCTCGCAGCAGCGAATGTGTTTGCTGACCTTGTCCTTGGTCTCGTACCATCTTTGGAGAGCGGTAGTCAACTGGTCTTGGGAGCTGAACTTGACAGCTAACAGACGTGGCGAGTTAATTGACATAAGATGAGTGGGTCGAGGCAGTCTATAAATAGAGACAGCCCCTGAACTCCCAGGGCCATCTGGGATGCCAACCATCTCCATTGTTGTACATCATGACAATGCTTTTCGCAGGCGTTCCCAGTTACCAGTTCGGGAATGCCATGCACAACCATGGAGGCAGAAGGAATGAGCTCTGGCGACTCCCTCGCCATTTGTCTTTCCTTCCACGGCCTGTCTGGCTTAACACGTATGTTACAGGCCCTCCCTATAGAAAGGACTTGAGAAGCCAGTAACACTTTTTCAACATCCTCGGTAGAGCCCAATGTTACCCTCAGTGGGGATGGTTTGCCTTCAGGTGCAGCAGTGCCCTTGTACAATCTGCATAGATTTACTGGTTGGATGTCCAAACCCAGTGTGCTACACAAGATGGACCACTGTTCCTGATCAAATAGGGCCCTATCTTTCAGCAGACTACTGCTACAGTCTGGTACATTAAAGAGGATTACACAATTTGATCTACTAACCGTGGGCTTGGGCTCGGTCCTCGCACATTTGTGATTTCCTTTAAGACCGTTTTGGTTCGTCTGGTGCGACTGGGTATTTTTTGTGTCTCAGTGCTATGGCCAATATTACTGGCAGACGAGAGGGGTCTTTTTCCAACGACGGAGACCCGTGGTTCTCCAGCCTCTGTGTCTGGAGCGGTTATGTCAAGAGTTACAGGTTTAACCAGTGAGGATTTTGGTATCCCCGGTTTACGCGCATTTGTACTAATTTCCGGATTGGTGCTGGTCGAAATTTTCATATTTTTCCCCGCTACTTCTGCACCACCTTTAGTTTTCAAAGGACTACGCGAGGCTACATCAGGACGGCAACTCGGGCATATGTACCAGAACCATTGGCATGGGTTTTTACGCATAAAGTCATAATATGCTTTTGGTACCCCATTGTCGCATCTGCAATGCACCCATCGCTTGCAAAAGTTACATTCGAAAGCAGAGTCTGCTTGTTCGACAACAGAAGCGGAGACCTTGCAGTCGTCTGCCTTCTTGGGGAGCGTTCTTGTCGTCTTGCGACGTCGTGAACGTTTCTTTTTGGCCTTCCTATTTGTTTCATGGTCTACCATGGGGATGGGTGTTATGCAGTTCTCACTTAGTGCAATTTTCCCACTCGGATCTGTTAACCTAGTCGTGTTAACAGGGGTGGAGCCACATCCACTTGGCTGACTTTGCACAGCTTCACTGTAGGACTGTGGCGACATGGGTAATCTGTACGAGCTGGGAATATTAGCCCTGGTCTTCAAGACCGGTATGCGTGAGTCCATCAGCTTCACCTGTTTGCCTAGTTTGGCTGAAGCCCTGGTGACTACAGAGTATGATGTCCCATTACTTATTTTAGGGTGAGAATCTATTGTCATTTTACTCCTAAATTAATACTGGTGATTAAAAAATAAGAGACTGTTATTTTGTCCAATAGACTTACAGCAAAAGACAATAGAGAGCACAGAGAGCACAGAAAAGAAGGATAAAGTATGTAAGTAAAAGCTTTTGACTTTTGGCTTTACCTGCAACTTTCGGGTTATTCGGCTTCACAGCAATCACGTAACAGACCCACAGAAGTAGCACCTGAAGCTTTGGCAGTAGTTCGAACGAATATGCTATGAACCACCTTCCAATGTCCAATATCCTTTTTACGAGCTAGTATAAACCAATTTAATTTCTTTGTGCTCGCCTCTTGATTGTAAGGTATGGGTTCCTGATCTTTAATAAACTTCTGCGTAGCTTGGCCCGCCAGTCGACTGTCGTAGCTTTGGTTGACTCCCACAGGAGTAGCGTTGGGATTAATTAAATGTGGTTTGTAGTATGAGTTGTGTTAAGACTGTTACTACTGTGAAGCTGGTCCTTTCACCAGTTAGTCCTCTGGTATCGTCGTCAAAAGGAAAGAGATAATAATAATTATTATTATAGACATAATTAGTGAGGTTATTCAGACCAACAGACAAAAAACGAAATAAAGAAAACGTAACAACAGTCAGCTGATTAAATTTGAAGAATAATATAATATATATGCACATATATACTTAGTTAATAATAATGATAAGTGTAGTTAAAGTTTACAGGAGATTAAGACGGGAGAAAATGTAAAGAAGTAAAACGACGAACTTAGTTGTGTATCCTTGAATGGTGTATGGGATTTGAAGGGGACAAGCCATTTGGATCCTCGTGTCGCTGCATGATTGTCCAGCCTTCGCTTAGAAGCGTCCACAGACGGTGCCATACCTACATCTGCCGCTAAGGAATTCCAGGGACGGCAAACCCGGCAGTGCAAAGAAGTGCGAGCGCACCCGGTCCTTGCCATCTGGTGAGCTATCCTTCTGGGATTTCCACGAGGCAGCCCATACCTACTCAATGGCAGAACACCTTTGTTTCGGTGCTTCTGGTCATTTGTTATCTTACAGGCAATAATCAAATTTCCCCTAAGCCGACGGAAGCTATGTGTGAATAGGCCTAATTTCTTTGGCCTTTCATCATACAGTTTATTTCGAAGATCAACCATTCCTTTTGTCTCCCGTCTCTGGACTCTTTCCAAGAGGCTGGCGTATCTTCTAAACAGTGAGGGTACAATGATATTATGCACTTCAAGGTGTGGTCTGATGTATGTTTTGTCCAACGTTAGAAAGAGCTCAGGAGTGACCGCATATGCCCTTGCTACACACACCCCATGTAATTTACGCTTGTGTCCATTTTTCCGTTAGAACTAGACCTAAGTCGCGTTCCGACGTTGTGCAGGATAAGCTTTCATTGCACAGTGTGCGCAACTTCACTATATAGGACATTTCAGGTTGAAAGTCATGCCACCGGTCACCGCCAAGTCTTCCAGAAGGTTTGGATCTTCCAGCAGCCTATCGGAGTCTTCCGGACACTTTATCGCCCTCCATATCCTTACGTCGTCAGCGTATATAAGAGTCAAGCAGCTTAGACAGCATGGTAGATCATTTATAAAAATCAAAAACATCAGTGGTCCTAGGATAGAACCCTGCGACACTCTTGATGACCAGTTGTATCAAGACTATCGGACTCGATCGACCTTAGTGCAACACCTTGAGGGGTTGAACCACTTTTTGTGTAAGCAGTTCACGAAGAGAAAGATCACATGGTAAAAGAAAAAGAAACCTAAATCATAACAACGTGCATACGACAATATGTTTTCCGTAGGCTTCTTATTTTCGAGTAGAAGTACATTCAGGTGACAGGATTAAAAGATGCGACTGCTGATTGGCTCAAGAATGTACGCCATACCTTAGCTGGGAATAAATATCCATAAAATTTCATAGAGAAAGACGGAGCCAAGAAAACCCAAAATAATTACTACATATCTGTAAATACGAATCCACTAAGCATGCAGTTGCAATCCAAGTGTGATATACTGTGTGAAGCAATAAAAAACAAATTAGTAAAATCACTTCACAGCTGTAACCTTTTTGTAATTTTCAAAGTGAACAAAGGAAGTACTCAAGCCAGCCAGCTGCTCCTGTGAAGTCAGTTGCATTAGTCGGTTCGAAGTTAAAACACATGATGCAAACAGGTAACGAAGAAATTGCCAAAGACCAGTAGATAACAAGTAGCAACAGTCTTAGAAGCTCACTTCTAACAATTCAGAAAATGTAGATCTGGCCCCCATTGTTCATCTGACCTACTATAGAGCCAACGAGTCCGTTATATCTGAGTTATTTTCATTTGATATTCAGTTCGGTGTTAAGTTCATCTGAATTATTGTATGCATGTTGTTTCGGACTGTAGTGTACTGACCTTATTGATTCAGTGTTATTCGGAACATGAAAGCTATCGACAGTAAATATTCGTAAGCTATTGCAGAGGTCAATGAAAATATTTTTTCCCCTCAATAGTCAGTCTTTTGAAATTTATGGTGGGTATCGTTTGAACTAGCCACCTCAGTTGAGGTATCCATTTATGCAGTGCTGTATCACATTGTGTGAAGTTGTCGTAGTCACCACAACTGCTGACAGATTTATGTTGGAAGTATGTGATTACTAGAAGTGAACAGTGGACCCTAAATTTCCTGCCAAGATCTCTGTTGCAGAACTATTTTTTGTGACCCAGTTGCAGTGATATCCGTCAGAAGGTGTGGTTACTTAGTATCGAAGGCCGCCGAGTTCATATCTTATTGAAATTTTAGTGCAGTCAGGATGGTGAACGTAACACGAAAATAATCGCTTGATGTTCAACTCACTATAGTCTGAAAGGAAAACTTCAAATGAGTACAGAATTTTCAGCCTGAAATATTGCTCACCATCTCCGGTGCTTTTCATTACACTACCCAGTTAAGATCTTTGTTCGTACACATGGAAACATATATACCTCCTGTAGATAAAAATATTAGGTTTAAAACGTAATTACTCCTGACTTTTTATTCAAGTATTCAAAAAGATTTGAGTTATTGGACAAGTACTGTGTTTTAATGTCTCTCAAGGTACATTTATTTTACCACAAGGACATTTACCTACTGGCGACCTCAGTTGTGGGATGTTTATCACTGTCTGACAGTGATTTAATTACTTAAGGTAAGCGAAGGCAACACGTACGGATAGCTCTGAAGTAGACCAGTACTTTAGCGCTTTGCAAATGCTTCTGGCGAGGATATAAGAATGCTGAAGAACGTAATATCCATAAAAACTTAGTTTAAACAACTACCCAATTGGGTAGTTGAATTATATACATACTGAACAGCTGACTTTCAGTCATTTCGCTGTCATTTCAATTTTTTCATCTGAGTTAGAAATTAACCTGAAAACCATCCTGGTAATAGGACCACGCATGGTAGCTATACTTTTGTGCACTCTATAGACTTAGCTAAATTTATAGGGTCATGATTTCCTGATTGCGTTAGACCCACGATGCGTACTTCTAGCAAGTCGTGTAAAAGTACATTTTCTCACTCGTTCTGTGTCTTTTCATCTCGTAGATTGTGTTATCACTTACGTATTAATGAAATAGATCATTTTTAAACAGTTACCATAGATTTCCCGAAAGCAATCTACCCGGATTTCACTTGGAGAAAAGTTTTGAAGCACTTTTAAAATAATTAGTATGTAGCTTCACGCCCTCCCTTTTATATTTACATATTATTGGCGATAGTTCGGAGCTCAGTAATGTTTTTTGAAGTTCCTAAGTACTGATAACATGGGCTACCATGTCATCCTGGCGTTTAGCTTGGATTGATAGAAATTAACACTTGTTTCAGATACTTATTCCTTGGAAATCACCAACGAAGTGGTAAATGTACAAGGACTTAACTAATATATCAGGATTTCAAAGCGGGGCTAAATGACACTGCAGTCATTCAGAGTTGAGATTTTTGCAAGATAGAGTGTATTATTCTTGTCCTAAAAGTTATCGTTGGAAGAACTTGAGTTTTCAACTGTTTTTGCTTTCTATCTACCTACGAGTTTAACCATGAATAAATAGTAAATCAGGAAAGTTCATAGCATGCACACTAACACATATATATTAGAATAGATCCTCATTTCAGCGTTAGAATTCGAAAGCCGTATTATAGGTGTGAATTATTTTGGAATGGAGTTAGATATATTACCTTTTCAATATTTTTAATGTCATCTTTACTTTGACATGAATTTTAAGTGGAGAGGACGATAATTTTGCTTTTTGATGAAAATCGGGTGTCTCGTGGGTTTTACAACGGTTGACTAGGAAACTTTAAGATTACACCAACTCATCATTATAACATGTAGATCATAAACAAAAAGGGTGGTATGAAATTAAACGAAAAGCATGTGAGTATCTTGATGTTCTGTAATTAGTTTAGGAGCTCACTCTTATGCCTTTTGTGCTATAAAGTTGTTTAAAAACCTGATTTTTGTAGGACAAAGAAGACGATAAAAGTCAGTAATGCACACTTTCAAGGCCCCACTCGGAGATAAAACTTTGAAGACCAATACGTATCTATATTCCATTCGAACCAAAGCCAAATTAAAAATATGGCAATTTAAATCGAGTTGTTTCAGTAGATTTTCTAGGCACTCATCAGTGACCCATATTCCCAGATGGAATTCTCTCTAACCATTGGTAGTCGCTAAAAAGAAAGTTTTTATTATCCTGGCTCAGTAGCTGCTGTCCGGTTTTACAAGGTAGGGAGCAATAATGAAGTTAGGTGTAGAGCTCTAGGTAAAGAGGATAGATCGATGTATGAGATTATAAAGCTTCAGGAGACTAGAATATTTTTCGGACAACTTACTTTCACGAGCAATCCTGACTGATGTAAAAATAGGTTGAAAAAGTAAACAGCCTTTATCATGGCATCAGTGCCTCTAGTTATTCTTTGTTATTCGGATTCACGCTGATTGGTATGGGTTTCCTGACTAGGATTCACTAGACACACTCAGGGGAGTCATTCCATCAGCATGACCTGCCCGAGAGAACCAGGCAGGCTTTAGACCATGAAGAGGGTGTGTTGATCATATCTTCACCCTTCAACAGATTCTGGAACAGGAATACTTACCGGCGTCCAACAATCGTCATATTTCTTGACCTAAAGGCAACATTCGATTCTGTCGACCGATAGGTACTCTGGCGATGCTTGGCTGTAAAGGGAATGACGAGAAAATACATTGCATTGATTAAAGAACTCTAATCGAACTCATGTAGTCAGACAGGCGAGAGCCTATGGAGAGTTGTCATATGAAGTGGTGACGACTAGTAGTGTCCGTCAGGGATGCCCATTATCCCCATTTCTATTCAATCTCATCATAGATGTACTAATAGAACTAACCCTAACTGACTTCAGCGATTGACTTGTTACCGTCAGGGAATAATCTCTTGGACTTAGGTTATGCAGATGATATAGTTGCTCTAGGTGAAGACGCTGACGAAATGCAGAGTCTTCTGAACACCTTGAGCTGCAATCTTCGAATGTTTGATATGCGATTCGCTCCCATCAAATTTTAGATGATGCTGCAGAACTGGACTACACTGACTCCTAGTTTATAAATAGGGAGTGAAGTAGTTGGTGGAGCACATTGACCGCTTCACTTATTTGGGAAGTACCATCAGCCCCAATGGGTTGATCTCTGACGAAATCTCAGAACGGATACAGAGGGATAGTTTCGCATATGCCAGTTTACGCCGCATTTGGTGTAGACGTGTTATCCGGCTCGGTATCGACCAAATCGCGTGTGTACTGCTCATCAGTCCGCTTCATCCTCCTTTATGGCTGTGAGACCTTGCCACTGAGAGTGGAAGACATGAAAAGCCTGACTAGCTGTTTTTGATCACAGGTGTTTGCGTCCTATATCCCGTGTGAAGTGGTATAATAGGGTGAGTAATAGTGAGGTTAGGCGTCGATCGAGTGCTAGGTAAGGAGGGGGAATCAATGGGCGAGGCTGTGAAGCTACATCGACTGAGATGGTTAAGACGTGTGTTACGTACGCCTACTCATCGCCTTCCTCAACAATGGGCAGTGTTAGCTGACAGGATCAGGCTGGAAAAGAGCTGATGGCGCGGTGGTCAAACCAAAACATCACCTCTGTCTGTCCGGATTCAACACAGAACTTGCCACCGAAGTGCACCAGTTCGAGTTGCCACGTTTCAAATAGCACACAAAAGTAGACAAGAAGATGAGTGAAGAGAATCAATAGACTTTGACAAATATAAGAGTGAAACAGAATGGGTAATGGTAGGAAGGAATATGAAAGATTACACAGACTGAATACATCTGCGCTGGCCATTGACAACGATTTTGAGCCATATCACCTATTGTCTCCAGCCATTGATTCCTAGAGTTCCGAGGGCCCCAACCCGGAAGTCTGCATCTCCCTACCTGACTCAGTTTAACTGTCAAGGATTTCATGGATTGATGAGGCCGTATTTTTGTTTGGCCACCACTTACTCTTTTCCAACATGCACCTATATCAGCTAGTAATGCCCGTCGGGGGAGGTGATGGTTAGGCATGCGCACCACGTCACCTAGCCATCTCAATCTATGTAACTACATAACATGGCCCCATCAGTCAAGGAAATCCACAACAGTTAGTTTGAGCCTGACGCATAAGGAGTTGTAGACTTCCTGACTGATTGGGGTCCCTGGGACGGTAGAAACCAATGAGGGCTGGACACAATCGGTGATATGGCTCAAAATCGTTCTCAATGGCGCAGATGTATCCACTCCTAGAGACTCATAATTTCCAATGAAACTATATTGATCTTGGTAATTACTATTCCTTTTGTCTCATATCCGTGTCTACTGTCTCTATTATGCATTTCATCTTTCTTCTCTTGTTTTGTGTGCTGGATGGATTGTGGCGACTTGAACTGCTGCATCGGTGCAAAGTTCTATGTTAAAAACAGACAGACACTCTAGGGTCTAAAGCTTTTGGCGATGTGGTTCAAAATCACTTGAATTGGTGCATGTCCACTTTCTCTTTATCATGCTACCGTTTCTGAATATCTTTACGGCTACTCGTCAAATCCTTCTCTCTCTCTCTCACATGGATGTTTGTCAAATACAGAGTATTATTCCTACCTCTGTCCTCTTCTTTATTTACTCCCGCTTCATATTATGGGAGGCTGAACTGATTCGGAGTTCTAGGTTGATTAGTCAATTGGGAAATGACATTTGGATAAACAGCTGAGAATATAATTGAAAAAGATTGTTTAACTAAAGGAAGGGATTGAAGTAGTAAATAAATGGTTGGTGAAACGAGATTAGTGAGATGCTTGTGATATCTAATAATACAGACTCACTTTTATATTATTTACTTAAAGTAGTATGAGTAATTTTAGTTGAGTGAGGTGGTTTGAGTGTTTTCGATAGCAATGCCCGTTGTCCAATTTGAAAAATAAGATACGAGCAGTGTGAAGTCAAATACCACAGTCTGTAGATATATCTCGGTGGAAGTCAAATGATTATTATTATTGTTTACTTTAGTTCCTAGAGGAGCATAGAGCTTCAGCCGCACAACTCCATTGTATTCGGTTCTCTGCCAACGATTTTACCTGGCTCCACATCTGCTCACATGCTCTCATCTTCTCTTCACATGACCTCCCCCATGCCACCCTCGGAATTCATATGCCGTCTTCACTAGGATTGAATGTTGTATAGCGTGTTGAATAAGCGTATTTTTATCTGGGATTAACTGAAGTTGTGATCCCAGTGGTTTGTTTGCGGGGGTAATAACTCGAGAAGCAGGAACTTGTTGAGTAATGTTTTTCATGATGGTATTTAGAAAAGTAATAACGCCAGAAACTTATAACTTATTGGTTTGCTTGGTAGGATTCCAATTCTTTATCTTATTCCTCAAATGCTTCATGTTTGCATAAATATCATTGGGTGTGTTAAGTTTCCTTCAAAACTTCTAGGTGATATCTAGTCATCTTGCGGCTTTGTAACAGTCCGCAAAACCAAATTGTGACGAGTGTCGTTACAATTTGTGGTGATATTCAGGTCATTAATTAAGTATTACCGAAATTCTAGTGCTTAACTGTTTCTTATAAGGACTGATTTCTATTCATTAGAGTGTGGTTTTGGATCATTTCGGCTTCACAACTACAAATGAACTTTTCCCTTTCCATTTGCATCAATCTTATTAAGTTAAGGAATAAGATATCAGTTAGAGAACCATTGAAAACCAGGGAGTACTGGACAGCTGCTGTTTCATCCTAGTTTGGGAACCATCGGCAGTACGCACCCATTGGGTTTCGAACCCAGGACCTTCCGGTGTACTGCCGATGATTCCCAAACTAGGATGAAACAGCAGCTGTCCAGTACTCCCTGGTTTTCAATGGTTCTCTAACTGATATCAATCCGTGATCAACTCGTGAAAACATAAAAAACCCTTACAAACCAAACTAAGGAATAAGATGTTTAAATGCCTATGTGTATTATTTAACGAATTTTGATGTAAGTATTATTGCTGAAGTATATCAACGGAGGTTACCATTTTATATTAAGCGTGTATTCTCTCATTTTCACTGTTTTACTATGTCTTTTAGAGTTCTACTGTACATTCACAGTAAATAGTAAATTGCCATTAAAGTGACCTACTGCACGTCGCAATGGGAAATTGCATATTTGCTGGGAAAAAGCTTTTCAAACAGTAGGTTGCATATTTACTCCTCAACCTACTGAATCGTTTAGGTGTTACAACAATCTTGGGCAAAGCGGAAAGCCCTCACCTGAGGTATATATTTGATAATCTATAGTTTAAAAATTATTTTTTAGTTTGATAGCTTGATTGGAAAGGTAAGCAATATTTATCATCCGTACTCTACTCAGCGTTTTTCTTATGTAAAGGAAAATTATAGAGGAACAAAGCCGTATGTTAAAGTTTTTTCAAAAAAGATTTTCTATTTTAGATCTAAGGGATCACGGAACATAATAAGTGAATATATGTCATGGGTATGTTCTAATTTATTTTCCACATGTGTACTTTCTCTAAAACTGGCTATCTATATTACCCTGTGTGTTTTCCTACTCTTTTGGCTCTAGGCCTTAAGCCACAGTCATTCACCTCTTGTCTTTGACGATACTATGTCCCACTCATCAGTATCTTCCCATTTCGATGAGTCAAATGTCGCCATTTCTTCTAGCTGGATTAGCGATGGAGCACACAGTGATGCATCTCATGTATTATATAAAGAACTGGATCCATTGAATAGGGCGGCTTCAGTGGAACTGGATAAAGAAAACTCGGATTCATTGGGGAATATGGCATCTCAGAAAGAGGGAAGTTGGATTACTGTAGCAGAGCCTTCTGACGGAAAACATGGTGCTTCTGTAAGTCGTTAACAATTTATCAATATGCAGAAAGATCTATTTGTTTTATTTCTTCGTTTTATTAATTATCGAATTTCTTTGCTAGGTGTCAATGCATTGTGTTATTTATGAAAGCATCTATGCAAATGATTTGGTATGGAATTTTTAAATTCACTGGTTGTTGTGCGCACGTGGGGTGAAGGTGTGTTTCTACAAGGAGTTTTTAAGTGGGAATGTAATTGTACTTTCAACTTCAGCAATCAGTAAATTGATGAGTAAAATAAGAATAAGTATAGTAATAATGATTCAAAGTTTTGAACGCTATTTCTCTCATGCATGTTTTCCCTTTTTAGTGTTATTCTATTTCTGTATTTCGAGGTGTGACTGCTTAAAGTGAGGTATTCCTATGCGCTAAGATATACGTTGATTTCGATTAGTCGCGAATTCAACTAATTCGAGACTACTGATAAAGTGGCTTGGAATTTTTTTTACCAGCTGTAACACAGCAAGACCGTTGAGTGAAACTAGAATTTGGGAATTGCTTTAGGCTTTTGTAGGCTTTTGTGTGAAAATAATTGAATATGTTTGTCCTGAATCAGTGTTGTGTGCTAAATAAGTTAAGGTGTTTGAATAAAATTGCTATTTCAAGTACTTAATATTCCTGGTTCTAATCATTTTATTTATAATTATATCTTAAAGAATTCCAATGACTGAAATTGTTACAGATTCCATTGTGGGTAAAATTTATTTTATTTATTTTGATAGGCTCACAGTGTTATACAGTAATATTTATTGATGACGTTTCGAGCACAATTTTCGCTCATAATCATATCAATATGATATGATACGATTATGACCAAATAATTGTGCTCGAAACATCATCAGTAAATAGTACTGTATAACACTGAGACTATCAAAATAAATTTTACCCAGAGTGGAATCATACCCTACCAGAGTTCACAAGTTCTATTCTTAAAAAAATTGTTACATATTGTTAGTTCTCATATTTATTAGACTAAGGAATGCAAAGCCTACCCTTGAAGCATAAGCAATGCCTAGGTGTTATTTATTGCCACTTAATTCTGTTTGACCACATCTTTTAAAATCACCTGCTACAAGTTTTTATATTCCATAATCATACCAACTGGTTTCATGTCTATTGATGAGGAAATAATAAGATGAAGTGGGTGACAAATCAGTGGGCTTCTCACTCTTTTGGGAACCATGTCAAAATATTTAGTTTGCATAAACTGCTCACATCTGATTCAGGTAAAGAAAGGTATGTCAAAGTGTATAGGAGAATGAAATTGTATGCAATCATACTCTAGCTGATGCTGGGATTGAGATCAGTTAAAATAATCTAGGCAACTTATTTTTCAGCTTCTAAACAGAAAAACATGTAACTTTAGTGGTTGTATAGAGTTCCCATGGTGTTATGGATATTATTTTTCTAGATATATTTGTTAGCCTTGAAAACACTGCACGTAGTTTTCAGTGCAACATAATCACCAGTAGGACTATTTTATGCTGGTATAAAGTGCATGTTATGCCGTGGTTTTTTTACAGTACCATTCATTCATAGCTTTTGCTTTTCTTCTCTTCACTACATTTTATTCTTAACAGTCATCAATTAGCTCCTTGTTATTATTTATATGAAATCATATTTCCACCTCCCTATTTTACGTTAATTTTCAGCTTCTCTTTGTTGTTGTTAGAAAGTAGTAACATATGAGGACTGGTAATATACTAGGTAATAATATACTAGGCCGGAGGATAGGTAAAGTGGGGCCCGAACTTAGGACTTGTTGACTAGAAGTCGAATATTTTAGACAATGAGCCACATCTCTGTTTTAATCTCATTGAAATAATTGATTCAGATGGCGTTTTAAATCTGTTTGGTTCAAAAAGGAATATTTTGGTACTACAAAGAAAGGAAAAGAATTGTTGCCTTTTCCACGTTTCGTATAACTTTAAACTCGAGCTGATCAAGCGATAAATTATTTTTACTTGTTGCTTTGTTTTCCTGTGTTGTATTGTTACGAGGAAAGAGAAAATAATTTTCCGTGTTCTGTTAGTAACAGTACAAGCACTAATATTAATAAAGTGTAGTAAGCAGAATGTAAATCTGACATGTGATGTCGATAAATGTCCATTGATGTATCTATTTTAACAAGGTGAATACGCAACAAAATATTTTCAATTATGAAATAAAGGTAAGAAATTCCATATGATTATAGATATAAAATACGTAACCTGCACGTAGAAAAATTCAATTAGCACACATTTTTGTTCACTTATCTGTTTTCAATGTACCAATGTAATTGAATTTTTTTCTTTCGTACACCTTAGCATTCGCTAGCCTTATATGGTATGCATATCGCAAACCTAATTAAAAGCGATAGATGTGAATCCATTGTCTTTTTATTTGCATCCTTTATATTTTTCGGGTATGAAACCCAGATCCCATTATAAGGAGCTGGTAGTTGTTCGTTGACCTCACCGTAGGAACTCATAATTATAACTTCCAGAAATTTATCTCAAATCAAATCACTGAATAATTAAAAACCCACAACTGTGTTCAGCTGATTCCCTAGAGGATCATCTCTCATTAAGAAAATAGGTGCTTCAGCTGTCTATTCCTCAGAATTTTCTTCAATAAGATATGAGTTCGTGGTGCTAATCGTTTCTTTCCAGCGTGTGTCAAAATTCACATATAAACAGTTACTTTACATTACAGTCTTTAAAGAGACTTTTTTTTATTCTTTCACGTTCCCAGTGGAACATAGGGCTTCAACCTTGAGCTTTGAAGTTTCTGTAGCAGTGGTGATCATTTTTACGGAATGGGGTTGCTAGCCTCATGCGCAACATTTCCTCTTTGCCAGGATTATTACTGGCTTAATGAGGTAAAGAAGTGTGTCGACTGGGGATCGAACCCCGGGCCATGTGCGTGGTCGGCGAGCGTAATAACTGCTGTGCCACCGACGCACTATAGAGAAATTTAGAAAAATAAAATTAAAGCACCATTCGATCCTTCGATAAGGTAAGTATTATCAATGTAAATTCCCTGTTCAATTATTACCCCTGGGAATTAGATGCAATATTGTGATATATGCTGAAAATTTCACGTTTGTATCAAAAGTTGTGTTTAGAATAAAGCCATCATTATAACTGTTATCATTTTAAAATGTATTCAACTTCTTATAACACAGAGCCATTAACGCTGAACAATCTCTCTTCATAATTTCGCTGTCACGCAATAGTCATCGCCTGGGAATGCGAATTAAGTTACTAAATGTATTGAGCAATATTAAAGTTAACTTTTATGTCTAAATTTAATCAGTTTTGAAAAGTCACCAACCAATATTAATAATTTAGTTACACTTTTTGTATTGGAACATTTTATAAACTTGTGTTAGTCATGTAATACTAATAAAATCAGGTATAAATTAACGTTAACAGTTTACTTGGGTCAAATATGTGCGTTTTAATAAAATTATTTTGCCTTGTGGTGTATCCAGTATTTATCATGATGAAGATTGGCTGATAAAGCTAAAATCGTTTCTGTTACTTCGATTAAAATGTATATGCTTATAAACTGATACATTCAGCTTTAGTGTTGCTTCCTACATGATGATCACCAGATGCACATTTGTAGTTTTTGTTTTAACTTCCACATATCCACCTACTGATGTAGTTATTCCTTTAGAAAATCTACACTACAGTCATATTAAATTTAATTTAAATAACATTTCTTCTTTCAGTCTTCAATCAGTCATTATATCATGCATCCACATATTGAACGTACGTCAGCATCAGTGCATAAAGAGGATAAAAATGCTGTGGCACATACACTTATTGAAGAAGTTGATGGGTTGGAATTGGCACGCCTAGCTAGAAGACTATGGGATCAAAGTAGACATCGATATAGCAGATCTAGCCAGGCAAATGAAAAAGTCACAAATACAGTAAATTCAAAGTCAGCATCGTTTGTTCGCCCTACTATTTTGAGTCTTCGTTCTACTAATCAAACAGTTCTACCTTCTGTACCAAAAACTGAAGCACCAAGTAAGTGAAAGTTATCATTAGCTATGCGTCAATCTAAAGCTTATTGGTGAAACTGTAGTGTTTTTGCCTATGCTGTAAGTCTGCATGGAAATCAATACATTAAGTTCATTCACTCACATAACATTTGCTTTGTTTAGCCCACTTATTTCGCTTTAAGACAAGGAGAAACAGTAAGTCTCAAATTGGTTACTAATTAGTTGTTCGACTACCACCCTTTGTTAGGTGTTATTTTGCCTGTTTTCCAATCACCTTTGCCTAGGGTTATCTCGAGGAAAACGATGTTATCACCTAGATTAGGGAAGATGTTGACAACCTTTAATGGAGCATAAGTTTATGGAGAGCGTACATATTCTGTCGGTCATGAGTGTCTACATGTATCAAAGTCTTGCAAAAAAGTTTTGTTGTGATAGGTGGCATGAGAATACAAGCACTGACGTATGCATGTATATATATATACGCTAACTTTGATAGATCTTATTTCATAGGTTTTCCTCTCACCCCTGTAGTAATACATCACATTCACTGGGTTTTACTCGATTACTAATGACCTTTATGTACATATTTCTTCCCTAAATGTTATACGAAAATGTTCGTAATGCATCGATTCAAATTGAAGATAGGCAGTGTGCAAAACTATGAAATCGGTGCAAATTATTTTTGGCATCATAATTACAGAAACAATCAAAGATCTTTCGTCCTAGTAATTCGATGCACAGTGCACCATAAAACTGATTTTTGTAGTTATTAGAAAAATCTTGTTAGAAAAAAAATGTTAAATTAATTCATCAGTTAGAGTTTCTTAGGCCCACTGGTGGGCAGCTACCTTTATTTTCTTAATTACTGGACTGTTTTTTCATAACCTAGTTTCTCTACCAAGATTTCAAGGTTATTATTATTTTTTTTCAAATGCTATTTGAATCCTCACATACTAAAATAATATTATTCTAATAGTAAACAAAAGGCTTAAGTTTTGTAATTAAAAAGATGTACTGAATAGAGAATAGAAAGAAGTTCAAAAAAAATCCACGTGTAACTAAATTTTTGTGGATTATAGCTGCATATTTCAAGCATCTGCACTATATTTTAATACTATGTGAACTAATTTTTCAGCATAATCCTAATTCTGTCTGTCTGTCTGTTTTCGACATAGAACTTTGCACAAATGTGCGGAAGTTCAAGTCGCCACATTCCGTGTAGCACGCGAAGCAAGAGAAGAAAGTACAAGAAAAGCATAATAGAGACAGTGAGCAGAGGTGTGAGACAAAGGAGTAATAAAGAAATACAAAACAGTTTCATTGAAGATCATAAGTCACAGGGAGTGGATGCATCTGCGCCACTGAGAACGGTTTTGAGCCATGTCACCAATTGTTTCCAACCATAGATTTTTACCGTCCCGAGGACCCCAGCCTGGAAGTCTACACCTTCCTACGTGGCTAAGACCAACTGTTGTGGATTTCATTGACTGATGCCAAGTTTTTGTTTGACCGCCGCTAGCTTTTTTCCAGCCTGACCCTATATCCGCTAACATTGCTCGTTGAGGGAGGCGATGACTTGGCATACGTAACACATGTCCTAACCATCTCAGTCGATGTAGCTTCACGACTTCGTCGATTGATTTCCCCTGTTTACCTAGAACTCTACGCCTAACCTCAATGTTGCTCACCTTATTATGCCACTTTACACGGGAAATAGAGCGCAGGCACCTATGATCAAAGGCAGCTAGTCTTTTCATGTCTTCCACTCTCAGTGGCCAGGTCTCACAACCATAAAGGAGAACGGAGCGGACTGATGAGCAGTACACCCGCCCTTTGGTCGATAGTCGAACATCTCGTCTACGCCAGAGTCGGCGTAAACTAACAAATGCGAAACGAGCCCCCTGTATTCGTGCTGAGATTTCGTCAGAGATCAGCCCGTTGGGGCTGATGGTACTTCCCAAATAAGTGAAGCGGTCAACGTGCTCTACCACTTCACTTCCTATTTTTAAACTAGGCGTCGATGTAGTCCAGTCCTGTAACATCATCCTAATTCAGCTGTCATAATATGCCAAAGAATATGATGGCTTATTAATATAGGACGTGTCACGGCCACTCTAAATGCCTCCACAATTTCGTTATGTGATTTACTTTTCTGAACTAACATTGTACGTATAGTGCTTGTGTGTAACTCAATGGAATGTAAGCGATATTATTAAGACATATACAACTGGGAAACCTGCAATATAATTTACCATCAACTGTCGCGTCTTGCAACCCCAGATGTGAATGCAACGAATAACGGGATAACTAGATGATATTAAAGATGATACATAAAGGAAAACGCCAAGATAGCCTTCTGCTTCGTTAGCAACCAGTTCGTGAGGGAAGATGCCATTTCTTGAATAGTTGCAAAAATCAAGAAAGTTGATCACGTCACATGCTCAAACTAGAAGTTAACATAGACCATTCCTATGTTATTTTGTATTTGCAACCACGAGCGCTCAGGTTCTTGTAAGATATATATATATATATATATATATATATATATATATATATATATATATAACACGTTTTTATATTTAGTAGTCCATCCCCTACTGAGGACAACATTTGTGATTAATCCTAAAAACATATATACCAGCGTTGTGATTCTTTTTCTGGTCACTTTAGTGAATGTCCACTACTTCATGTACTGGTAAACATTTCTTATCTAGTACTCTACATCGAATCTTGGCAATACCTACTATGTAGTTCTAAATAACGTGCAAATGAATTTGTCGAAGGATTAACCTATACACTTGCAAAAAAACAAAAGAGACAGTCTATAAGATGTATAGGTAGTACTTTATAGTGCTGAAAAACTGGCATTCTTTCCGTCTTTCTGGTTCTAAAACACTTCTGAGTAACAACTACAATTGTAGGGGCTGGGTTGCTTTCTTCTTTGGCTTTCACTCATCCCCTGAGAATAAATACTCAGAGAAGGATTTAGGAATTAAGCCAAACGAATCATTATGTTAAAGCAGATCTAAATGCCTTGTTGTCTTATAAGAGTAATTGCTCGTGAAGTATATTTTGCAGTCTTAAGCATGCATATGTAGTGGAAATCCTCAGTGATTTAGTTGTGTATGGAACATAGACGCTTGAAGACACTGACGAATCAATGGTCAGCTAGGCTTCGAATAAAGTCTGTAACTAAAATACTGAGACGATCCTATGATTAGAAAAAACATATGTAAAAGTAGTAAAATATTTTAAAGCTGTTGTTTTATTAATTGGACATTTTATCACCAAGGTTGAGTTTCGAGAGCCATATGCTAAATGAATGACCACGTTCTTTTAAAAAATTCGCATTGAAAAGATTTAACTACTTAATTCAAGCCAAGTAGAATAAGATACATAGGATAAATTGTCTTTGTTTCAGTTGCATAAATGTATTAGTTTAGAAAGTTCTGTTTAAACTTCATGTCTGTTTGCTAACTACATTTGTCCACTATTCTGTCTAGAATACACAGTGCTTGAGCGTGTTATCCACTTATTTGGAAAGTTCCATCAGCCGCAATGGACTGATCGTTGACGAAATCTCACCGTGCATAGAAAACACTCATGTGGCACACGCCAGTTTACTCACGCACCCATGTAAGTGCTTACTGGAAAATGCCAAACAAGGGTGTCTATCAGGGGTGCCTACTGTCCCTATATCTTTTCGATTTTTGTCGTAGATGTACCAGTGGAATTAACCCTAACTGACTTCAGGGACTTAGGGATTGACTTGTTACCAGGGCATAGTCTTGTTGATATAGTCCTTCTAGGTGAAGAAGCTAATAAAAGGAAGAGTCTTCTGAACACCTTGAGAAACCATCTCCGAATACTTGGCCTAAGATTTGCTGCTGTCAGACGTAGAGTGATTCTACAGGACTAGGTTACATCAACTCCCAGCTTCAAAACTGGGAGAGAAGTGGTAGAGAGTGTTGACCACTTTAATTATTTGGGAAGTTGCATTAGCCCCAACGAGCTGATCGTTGACGAAATCTCATCATGGATACAAAAGTCTCGTGTGAGATTTGAAAACTGAAGTTATCTCCTAAGTAGATGGGATATCAGACTGTCGATCAAAGGACGTGTGTACTGCTCCAACGTTCGCTTTGTCCCCCTTTTATGTATGTGAGCCATGACCATTAAAATTGGAAGACATGAAAAGGCCAGCTATCTTTGTTCGTAGGTGTCTGCATTGTATAAGTAGGGAGAGTAATATTGAAGTCAGGCGTCTAGTATTAAGTAAAGAGGGACAACCATTCGATGCCGTTATGAAGCTACATTGATCGATATGACTAAGACATGTGTTACAGATGACTAGTCATCGCCTACCTCGACGTTTAATGTTAGCCCACATAGCATCAGGTTGGAAAAGAGCTAGTAGCGTTCAAACGAAAACATGGCATAAGTTCATGAAATCGTCGACAGTTACTTTGAGCCATGTAGGGAGGTGTAGACTGTCTGGTTGGGGCCTCGGGATGCTCAGAACCAATAGCTAAATACTGCTGGTGGAGCAGCTCAGAATCATTCCCAATGTCGCAGGCATACTCACTGTTTGTTATCTTTCAAATCCATACAATCCTTATTATCCTCCATGTAATTATTCTTTCTTTCCGTTCATTGCATTTCCCCTGCATGTTTTTCTCCACCATTGAGCGCTTATGGAGTGTGGCAACTTGAGCTACTTCACTTCTGTACATTGTTCAACACTAAAAATCAGCTAGTTAGTTATCAAATATATATATATATATATATATATATATATATATATATGAGATCAAACGTCACTAGCTTGCATATATTAGGTGTAGATCATAATTGTGCAAAGTTGCAAGTGTTTGCTGAATCTGTGTTTATTAGTTAAGGATAACGAAATGCAAATGCCCTGGAATATTATTTGACTGTTGTCTTGTGTATTGTAAACAATGAAATCATGCATCACATTTCAATAGGCTGTAAGACGTCATGCAATTATTATATGATTCTACCATATAGAACCATCATTCACATTGTTGATTTTATTAATTTCCATCTAGCCTTCATGGTAACCTGAACTATCTAGACTTATAGCACTACTCGTTTATGTAATCCTAATCAGGTGACCGAATTTTGAATTTGTTCCTTTATACCCTGCTAAAGATGCGTTTCTTCGTTCAACAGCAGTTAGTTACATAAATTAAAGAAGTACGTTGACAAATAATTCTCTTAACAGCTGATGTATTTCGACTAACCACTAACATACATTTTTATATTTAGTAGTGCCTCCCCTACTGAGGACAACATTTATGATTAATGCTAAAGCAACCACTAACTTATTGATCATTACAAAAAAGGTTTGGCGTGTGTGTGTGACTATAATCCCACCATTAATTTTTGCCCACCGATAGTAACAATAATCTTTAGGCGTTTTACTTCTAATTGCAAAGGATATTTTGATTTGTTTGAATGTTAATAGTATGGCTGTCTAACATTATAAAATAAATGCTATTTGTTTTAATACAAATGATTTTTTCAGAGTTAGGTAACAACCCACTTTGTAACTGGCTATCGAATGTAATTTGACAAAAATAAGTTGGTATTGCAATGATGTAGAATTATTTTCCACTTGTTTTCTCGTGAGTGTGCGTGTGTTTGTTTCCAAGTGAACAGAAGCGCGCATGTCTGGTTTAGTGTGTGATGTGTTATATGAGACTGTGATAGTGGTTAACAAGTATTTCAGTTCAACTCTACCTAACTGCTATATATATATATATGTATTAACGACTCTTCTAATGATTATATCACTTTCGTACAACAGCTTTTTCATCAAATTTCATGCGTAAGTCTATCTGTTTGCTGTTATCATTGGTGTTTGCGCGGACGTCGTTTTAGATATTCACTTGCTGACTATATGTGTAAACTCAACAAATGCTAACTCTCTTTACGTCAGTTTCTTTCATTGAATCTACAATCTACAAATTATTGGGTTTTTGTGTATTAAAATGAATAACTCACTGAATCTTTGTCACTAATCTGATTCTTAGGTATATAAAAGTACTACTTTCCACTCCCATTCTTCTTCTTATTCCCTTGAGTTCTGAGTGGAACAACCCCGTCTCCCCTATGTCTACTTAAAGTTCAGTCTTTGCTGCCTCTATTACCAACTTGTTGGGTTTTACCCATAAATCTTCGACTGTCCCCTCATTGCCCCAACGTATATCCGTCTTCTCACTCCCCACGATCTGTTGCATGTTCCAGTCCACCACAGGTAAGTTATCATCAGTGGCAGTGGACAGCCTTGTCGAACTCCTGTCTTTACTTCAAAGGCTTCGGTGTTATTGTTGTTATTATTTTCAGGCAAACATTTTACCACCTGATCAAGCAAAATATGTTGTCTTCTCATACCAATAAGTTTTATGACCATATCACATGATACAGTCAGCCACTATAGGAAGAAATTAGTTCCTGAACACATTATTACCTTACCAATGGATTATGGAAAAAAACAAATTCGATATTCAGTTGAGTTATGTGTTCTACCGACAAATAGGTTAATTTTTACTCAGGTGAATTTCCACATTGTTCAGCGCCTCTATGATCTTCTGAAGTCTAACTTTTGCAGTAAAACTTCATCTGTAGAATTCTAGTTAGGAGATAGAATGTAATAGTTGGTTTTTTACTTATTGAATGAATACAACTTTTAGCTCATCTAGTCACTATGATAGTCTGTCACTTCGTACTGGTGGTAATCTCGTTTGGGCTTGTTCTTTTATCGATCTCAGTATAATTGCACTCATTAATGTGACTGCAAAGCGACACTTCTGTTTTTACTTCTAGTGCACAGGGCGAACTATCCTTTTCGGGTTTGTTGATAAGCCTAAGTGTAATCATATATGCTTAAGTGGGGTCAGTTTGTTTGATCTAATTCGGCTGTCTGAGCTCAGTCAAATTGAATACATCGCTGATTTACTTGGCTTCAAACGAGCGAAATGACTGTTCGGTATTTAGATCACTTCTATGTGGCTGGCAAGCACTACTGATTGATGTGAGCAGAATACGATAACTATTCATCTCAGTCAGTCAGTAGTGTGTAGTTCTGTGCACTCATTTTTGGGCAAGTTTCAATTTTAAGCCTGTGATATTAGCTTACGTTTGGTAGTTCAAATGTATAGTTGTAGTAAAATATTGTTTTTTATAAGACACTATCATTATCCATTCCTTGCGCATCAAATGCATTTTATTACTATCATTATTGTCTCTTTGGATTCCAAGTGGAACATAGAGCTTCAACAGCACATCTCCACTTTTTCTTGTTCTCTGCGGTCATCTTAAGCTGACCCCACGATTCCCCATAGTCTTTCATCGTCTCCATGTCAGCCTCGGATACCTCACTCGTTTCCCGTTCGAGTTCTTTTTTGAGAGCCCAACTCGCGCTGTCATTCGACATTCTCTTCAGTGTGTCTAGTCCATCTTCATTTTCTTTATCATATTTGTTGATAAATGGTCTGTTCCCAGAGCTTCATGGTACTGATTCTCGCTGTGGCCAACCATCTAATCTGTGGTATGGACCTAGGAATGCTAGCTGTTGATAAAAGGCCTGCAGCTGACTGTGGGAAATGCTGTTCAAGACACACCCATCAATTTTCTGACACCCATATAGAAGAAGTGACTTGACATTTGTGTTGAAAAGCAAAATCTTGTTGTTGTTGTTGCTGAGTGCAGTAGATTTCCAAACTGATTTCAGAGTGATGAAGGTGTAGCTTGGCTTTCCGTTGCATGTTGGCTTTGACATCTTCATCCGTTCCTACTGCGTGTAGTTAAAATGATACTGCCTAGATAAGTGAAGGAAGTGATGATATCTTTAAAATGTCTTCTGTTGATAGTGCTGATATATAGCACTATCTAATACATTTAAGATAATTAGATATTTGTAAACTGTGTAGTATGCTATCTTACATGGAGGTCCGCGTTAACATTCCTTTTTTTTAGTGTCTTTACACGTATTTTCCATTTATTTCATTATTAGGATGTATTCACCAGGAGAAATTATTAGGATATCATATATTTTCTATTTGCTTATTAATCTACTGTATTGCTTTTGATTAATTTTATTTTTGTAATAATATTCTGTTATAAAAGGTTTTATATGGCTATTTAATCAATTTGATGCTTAAACTTTTCCTTTCCTTTCAATCATCGGCAATCGTGTATTATTGAAAAACAAACACAATATATACATCTGCAAATTTGTTAGAAACCATTTATTTTGAATCACCGGATATGGACTCAGCATTCGATCTTGCCTGGGATAATGAAATGGGTAAGTTTTAGATGGTGCATATTTTAGTTTCATATCATAAATTTCTAATGATTAACTGAACTGACAGTTAAGTGATATTGAATGAATTATATTGATCATTTTCGCCTTCATTGCACTGTATTATCGTTAGAATAGGATTTTAATGCACAATACCTCATTGATTTTTGAAGGTAAGTATTAGATAACATTCAGTGGATTGCGTGACGAATGGAGTACTATGGATCAATCTTTAGCGACTTTTGGTAACAAGTGCTAGAATTGATTGCATAGCTGGAACGCATTCACTACTTTTTGTTAAGAAGATTCGTGAAATCTTCACTAGACTCGATCTAGTTGCTGTTTGTCGCTTTCGCGTCTATTTTAGTCTCATTACTTTCGCTTTCTTTTATTTCATGTGTAATTCTTCCAAGTATATGGCAGTTTGATCTTATGCACTTTTGTTGAAATCGCACTGTTAATATTATCAGTCACTTACTCAGTCATAACTTATAGTGACAACATGAAGTGGGATAGCTTGATCGAAGGAGAAGATTTAAGCTGATTTGTTTCCTCTGTGTGCTGTTTCCATCTCGGGATTGCTTAACACAGATTTAGCTTTATAATTCCCTAATATATTAGCATTTTGAAATACTTACACTTTTTCGAATTACGAGCAGTTAAGAAGTTCGAAAGAGGAAGATCTCCCCTTTGCTAAACGTTTCCTGGCTTTTGTTTTCTTTGGAGAGTCATCCTTAAAATATAACCATCCCAAATGATGCTATGGATAAATGCCAATTTTTTTTCATGTTCGCTTCATTCGGTTCTACATTTATTGTTAGGAATTACCGTCAGTAGCCAACTCTCATGCTTTTTTCAAATTTAATATAAGTATAAAACTTGGGCACTGTATAACTCCATTATGGATAAGATTTTATTTTGATAAATCACACAGTGTTATACAGTAATATTAACTGATGACCACGTTTTGAGCACAAACTACTGCTCATAATCATGTCAAGTCTTATCATATATCAATCATATTAAGACTTGCTATGATTATCAGCAATAGTTTGTGCTCGAAACGTTATCAGTTAATATTACTGTATAACACTATGTGGTTTTTTCAAAGTTCCCTAATTCAACTTCCAGATTGTAAAGTTAACACGTTTTTTTTAATAACACTGGTTGATATTTGGTTAAAAACTGCTTAATTTTATATGTGCCTTTTCGTTGAATCATCAAAATGTACCACCTGTCTTATGTAGGATATCGATACTGAGGCTGTTGGATTGGTCATTTTAATGTTTCATTATGGAAATAAAGTGTTGGGATTAACAAAAATCAACTTTAACCCAGGGTGTTAATACTTTAGCTGAATATTGTTCTCTGAGCTCAGGTTCAGGTGTACCGCAGATCCAAACAAGTCATTAACCGTTGAAGTCATTAACTGTCGGTCTGAATCAAATGAGGAAGTTTATGTCGCTTTAGCGCGCTAGTCTGGATTTTGGTGAAATGGTGGATTTCCTCTTTATCAAGTTCCGGATTCTGAACATTTCACTGCTACTCATTAAATTCGTCCCTCTCTCTCCCATTGATGTTCGTCTACAATAAAGTACTATTCCTACCTCTAACTTCGCGTGAATTTTACACCAGTTTCGAATTAGGAATGTCTTAATTACTAATAGGTTATAAGTTGAGCAATAACGTTCATCTGAAGTTGTCTACATCACCGTCGTTAGTTTAGAAGATTTGCATTTAGTCGACACCGGTAACGTTGTTATTACCATTCTTCTTTTACTTTTCTGTTTGACTGAAGAACTATTCATTACTAGTGAAAATGTTTGTTTTTCTTCATATTATTTCTATATTATTCATGCTGCACTAAATCTGTTTCATTAAATATAACAGTATCATTAATCTACGCATGCAACTTGGACACTATTGTAGTATGTGTAATTCCATATGAACTTGTTTATTGCCTATAAAAGACAATAAAATATTATTACTAAGTGCGTAGCGTATCTTTTGTTCACAATCATGTCAATATGATTAAAAGTTTAGGTATTGATAGGTAGCCATTTTACGTAAATCCATCGTAATTAATGTCTTTGAAATTATTTCCCGAATTTCATCAATATCTTGTGTATATACAATGTTTATTCCCTATTTCTAGATTTAGATATGTCAAATGCAGAGACGAGAAGATCATTTGGCAAAAACACCTCTCAACGTGCTATTCCACGTGACTTCAATGACGAGACATCTTCCAATAGTTTCATTACTCGTAATCCATTCGACGAACGAAGAAGAAGACCACTTGCAACAGCTTCTACACAAAATGCAAGCTATAGTCAAACTCAGTCAGTTGCTATTCTCCCTATACGAAATGATGGTTATAATCCTATTGTAGACAGCAAGTGGATACCAAGTGACAAATTACCTGGTAATACACGTAACTCTGTAAAGAAACCGCTGTCATCAGAAACAGCTATCCCGTGTTCAGATTTGATTTTATCACCTACATATAATACCATTAATACTGACAACAGTCAGACTATCGGTAAAAATACATCGAAACTTTTATTCTCAGATAATTTAGTGGATTCTGGCTTTGTTGGTGGAGGTAATAGCACTATAATAAGCAGTTTCTCTGATTTCGATGATATTGCTGATGATGATGTCGTGGATACGGAGAAACAGGAATCATTGGGTACCACCGTACCCATAGATCACTCTTCAGAACATTTAAGTGATTTTCTCTGGGAACATGAATTATTTAGCCCTCAGACATTCAAACCTAAAAGTATTCATTGTCCAACAAATGTACATTAGTTTCCGTTAAAAAATGACAATTTTTTTGCTTATTTTCACAAAGAGTATTATAACAGATGAAAAAAAAATAACTTATCAAGTTCTATGCGATATTCATGGTAAATTCTTTATGCATTGACTATAACAGACACACTGTAAAGACTAATATTCACTCCGGATACTTATCTTTTACTCTCTGACTATTCAATTTTTAGTCAACCGGTAATTCTCTTTTGTAATCCTGTTTTTAGGCTTTCGTTTACTACCCCAGTCAACAGTGTTTTCAATTAGATTTTATCATCACTATTTTGCCTTCACGTCGTGGTGACGCACCTCTTGCATTTAATAAATTGACTTGTTTCTTTTTTTTATTTCTTGTTCGCTAACCTGCATTTCCATCGTTATTTTTTATTTGGTTCTATGCCTTTTCTTGTCTTCCCTTCTCCTTTTGTTTTTCCTACTAATTTTAGTTCATTAACAATTCTCTTCCCATTGAGATTAATTTATCCTCGAATTGATGGACTTGTGATTTTTTCAAAATTTTCCCCTTTACCTTTTTCTCTACAGAAAAAAAAAGATTCAACGAAACTCTTTCTATAGTGGTAGGTTAATCAGTGATATTTGTTTGTTATCCTTTGTCGTTTTAGCATTATTTCCTTATCCCCTACCCTTTTCCCACTGCTTTTTGTGTTGTCCCGAGTGTTAATACCTCGTATTAACCGTGCGTATGCAATATATATATATATATATATATATATATATATATATATATATATATATATATATATATATATATATATATATATATATATATAATCAAGCAATTACATAATTCATGTACTAGGTGATAAAAAAGTTACTGAACGAAATCTCTTTTTTTTCTGTCCTTCTGATTTTATTCCCTTTATGGTTAATTTTCTTTGCTTTCTTTCTTTCTGCACAAGAAAATTAGACAAGGAAAGCTTTTTGAAAATCTAATTAAATAAATACAGAATCTTTTTTTGATAAATGCAATTGATTTATAATTTCCTTGATTACATGTGCACACATAGATGAAAGCAAACAGTAAACACATGCATATATATAAATTCTTATTAATCTAAAGTCTGCATACACGTAATGTGATCTCTTGTTTCACCTTTAATTATCACTTTCTTTTTTCTTCTTCCTTTACGTCGAAAGATGAGTACACATGAAGTCCTGTTGCTACTCTTATTGTTGTGGTTAATTGTGTTTCACTCTTGTTAAGTAGTTTGATTCTGCTCTTGTGAATAAATTGTTTTTCATATATATGTATGGCTAGTTCGAATTCCTACTGCTGATGTGTCTGAGTTATGCAGACAATTAAACAAGTATTTATTATATGCCATCCCCTGCTTCTAGTCTCAAAACTGTTGTATGTTAACTTTTTGTCGTGTCGCTGTGATGTGTAGTTATCTTTAGGTGATCGGGAAATTGCGTATATTTTTTGTTGTAGGCTTTTCATGTTCAACTGTTGTTGCGTGTTGCAAATTAAAAATAACTTTCAACGAAAAGTATGCTATAGTTAATTGTAAATTAGTCTGCAACATATATTTGTAACCGTCGCCTAGTTTGGCTTCTGATATCTGTTCAATAATATTCACAATAAGTTATAACAACATGGAAAAGAACAGTAAGTGAAATCACAGTTTGGACAAGTCTTTTCTTTGCCTGTTTTAAATTTATATATTGTTTCTTTATGTTATTTTTGCACTCAATATTGTATATATCTTTGTGTGCCATTGTGTTGGGCTTAAAACCTTGATTCATTATACTACACATAAGAATTACTGTGGATTGAGTTGTGGAATTTTTTTGAAAACACGTTCACAGCCTCTTATATCTCCTATCTGTGAGCAATATTATTGATGAAAGAGGTAATACACTTTATCATTGTACGAATTCAGAGGATGAATAATAAACTGTTTTCAGTTTAATTCCCCATTTTGAAACTCCGTTTACACAACAGTTATATCCAAAAACTTGTTTACACAATAATAATTTTCATTAACTTCTATAAACGTTTGCGCGCATTACATTAACTACCGATAAACATTGTTATATGATCGGTTGTATTTTGTACATTTATGTTAGATCCAACCCGTGAAGAGATATGTCTTTTAATGCTTCTAGGATAATTCTGCAGGATACAATAATGAATTTGGACGGAGATTTATTTATCAACTACTTGATATCCAAAATTACTATTCCCCTTGGTGGGTATCTGCTCACTTCTAATTAGTTGGTGACTTTTTCGAGAAGAAAATTTTCTCCGTTGCAATCGTTTTCTTCCCTATATTATATATGTATATTCCGCAAATATTATGCAAAAATATGAGCTTAAGCTGACTTTTATGTGGTGTTATTACTTTCAATACTTATACGTAATCTAGTGTGAATTTGAAGGTTCATTGCTCCTATCGTCACACTGCATTAGTTTTAGCTATTCGTTCGCAAATACTTTTTCTGTCATTTGATGAGTTTTCAGGGGTAGGGTTATAATCATATGATTTACCTTACCGAATGTACTCAGAGATCATTGAGCAACACTGAAAAATGCATTTTTACTTATCAGGAGCCTTTTTTAAATATAAGTCATATTTTATAGTAAATCTGATTTGAATTAGTTTCTTGGGTTAGGCGTACATTCTGCTGCATAGGATCCAAGTGATTATACTATGCTTGCCACCAGGAATGATATATGTGATTAACTAAATAACATTGACAATAAGTCATTTGTATAGATGTTGTATTATTAACTATATACCTGATGTATTCAGACACAGGAATATCATTAAGAAGTAGTCTGTTCTAGCGTGATATCTGGACTATATATCATCGCACATAAATTAAAGCGCGTCTGCAGTGATATATTTTGACATCTTCCCCTTACTACTGATTCAGCTTCTAATAGTAAAGATGAAGAAATCTATGCGTGTTTTAACCTTCATCAAAACTAAACAAGTCCACTTAAGAGAATTTGGTAATTTAACAGACTAGAAGATCCTTTCAAAAAGGGTATATGACAAATTGAAATGGCATATGCTGGGGTTTTACGGATATCATCTAAATTAATTTTACATGTTTGTTCACCCCTTTAAGAACATGAGTTTAATGATGTCCATAGTTCTCTTACACAAAATATCTTACAAAACATGTGTAAGGAACCCTCAATAGTAGGAATTCGAGGACTTTCCAAGTATAGAACTAGAAGCCACATCTTATAATAACCGAAAGCTGTCTTACTCATCGAAGACCAGTTACAGAAATAAGTTAAGCGTCAATAAGGCCGAATGTAGTGTAAATATTTCTGCTACCTCATACGAACTGTTTGACCCAAGAAGACTGATTCCGGCGAGCTCCGAATATGATGAGGAGCGGAAGCTACTCTAACGCAAACTAACAAGAAGCCTCCGAAACGACTGTGAGCAGTGATGGGCGACAAAAGCGAAAGAGATGGAAAAGGCATCGACGATTGGTAACACCAGATAGCTATTTAGACTAATCAGGAAAGCAGGTGGCAGAAGACAACCGATAAGTGAAACAATCTCTGAGAAAAATGGTGCCACAATAAGCTCTCAGGATAGACGACTAGAACGTTAGGAAGAACACTTCGAGGAGCAACTCAATTGGCCTACAGCCACGCTCAGCACCTCCGTGAGAGGGATATAGACACAGGTCCTTCATCCCTTACTGAGGCCGTTACTAGTCTGAAACGAGACAAAGCTGCAGGACTGGATGGAATGACTCCAGAGGTGTTTAAGGATGGCGGAGACAGTATAGTGTCTGCGTTAACTAAGGCAGTAGGCAGCATCTGGGAATCAGAAGAAGTCCCGTCGGGTTGGCATAAGTCATTGATTATCCCAGTGTACAAGAAGGGAAACGAGTCTTCCTGTGATAATCACAGGGGGATTAGCTTGACCAGTATGGTTCTCGGCTGAATAATATTGCGTAGACTAAGTGGTGCTTGGCAAGAACAAACACGAGAGAACCAGACAGGCTCTAGTCCAGATTCTGGAACAAAGGCATACTTACCGGCGTCCAACAATCCTCATATTTCTTGACCTAAAGGCGACGTTCGATTCTGTCGACCGAGAGATACTCTGGCGATGCTTGGCTGTAAAGGGAATTCCGAGAAAATACATTGCATTGATTAAGGAACTCTAATCGAACTCATGTAGTCAGCCAGGCGAGAGCCTATGGAGAGTTGTCATATGAAGTGGTGACGACTAGTGGTGTCCGTCAGGGATGCTCATTATCCCTATTTCTATTCAATCTCATCATAGATGTACTAATAGAATTAACCCTAACTGACTTCAGCGATTGACTTGTTACCGTCAGGGAATAATCTCTTGGACTTAGATTATGCAGATGATATAGCTGTTGTCAGAGTTGTCATGTGAAGTGGCGACAACTAGTGGTGTCGGAGAGGGATGCTAGCTCACTATCCCTATTTCTATTCAATTTCATCATAGGTGTACTAATGGACTTAACCCTAACTCACTTCAGCGATCGACTTGCTACCAGGGTATAATAATCTCATAGACTTAAATTATGAATATGATATAGTCCTTCTAGGTGGAGACGCTGACAAAATGCAGAGTCTTCTTAACATCTTGAGCTGCAATCTTCGAATGTTTGGTATGCGATTCGCTCCCATCAAATTTTAGATGATGCTGCAGAACTGGACTATACTGACTCCTAGTTTATAAATAGGGAGTGAAGTGGTTGGTGGAGCACATTGACCGCTTCACTTATTTGGGAAGTACCATCAGCCCCAATGGGTTGATCTCTGACGAAATCTCAGAACGGATACAGAGGGATAGTTTCGCATATGCCAGTTTACGCCGCATTTGGTGTAGACGTGTTATCCGGCTCGGTATCGACCAAATCGCGTGTGTACTGCTCATCAGTCCGCTTCATCCTCCTTTATGGCTGTGAGACCTGGCCACTGAGAGTGGAAGACATGAAGAGCCTGACTAGCTGTTTTTGATCACAGGTGTCTGCGTCCTATATCCGGTGTGAAGTGGTATAATAGGGTGAGTAATAGTGAGGTTAGGCGTCGATCGAGTGCTAGGTAAGGAGGGGGAATCAATGGGCGAGGCTGTGAAGCTACATCGACTGAGATGGTTAAGACGTGTGTTACGTACGCCTACTCATCGCCTTCCTCAACAATGGGCAGTGTTAGCTGACAGGATCAAGCTGGAAAAGAGCTGATGGCGCGGTGGTCAAACCAAAACATCACCTCTGTCTGTCCGGATTCAACACAGAACTTGCCACCGAAGTGCACCAGTTCGAGTTGCCACGTTTCAAATAGCACACAAAAGTAGACAAGAAGATGAGTGAAGAGAATCAATAGACTTTGACAAATATAAGAGTGAAACAGAATGGGTAATGGAAGGAAGGAATATGAAAGATTACACAGACTGAATACATCTGCGCTGGCCATTGACAACGATTTTGAGCCATATCACCTATTGTCTCCAGCCATTGATCCCTAGAGTTCCGAGGGCCCCAACCCGGAAGTCTGCATCTCCCTACCTGACTCAGTTTAACTGTCAAGGATTTCATGGATTGATGTCATGTTTTCGTTTGGCCACCACTTACCTTTTTCCAACATGCACCTATATCAGCTAATAATGCCCATCAGGGGAGGTGCAAAGTTCTATGTTAAAAACAGACAGACACTCTAGGGTCTAAAGCTTTTGGCGATGTGGTTCAAAATCACTTGAAT